TCTTTCAGATATTCTTACACTTATCACAACTGGCTATATTCTAAATCTTAACAACTATCTGTCTATTTCAACGCAGTCTTTGGTGATGATTGTCTTCAATTAACCTTTTTTACATCGTTTAAGAAAGAAGTTATATACGTATATCAGGCACCTTTGATGGCCCGTATCAAATTGAACACAGGTCTTAATATGAGAGGAAACCAGATTGTCTGGATAAAACCCATGTATACAGGCCTACAGTTATATGCTATCGGTCTAGTAAAGGGCGACTGCACTAATCACTGAACCCGATCACCCATTTATCATCGATATGAAGTGATGATTGGCCAATACACCCGATGTATATGGTGATTGAGATGCACGTGCTTTCCTTGTAGATAAGAGAGGATGAATGCATGTGTAATTCTTGCATACATTTCTCTTTAAAATTTTCAACAATAAATATGGTATAACTTATACCTTAATATAATAATATTACTCAATATAATGAAAGGATAAAGGCAATCATAGAATCCACTGAAACAACACTTACAGGTATACAGGGCGTTATGTTGATGTAACCGAACCGTTATTTAAACTTACTTACTATCAGTTATACTCTGTAAGTTACGATTTTTCTCGTTGTGTTGTAACGCAATGCTACATTTTGTCATTGTGTGTTGACGCTTTGCTACATTTTGTCATTGTGTGTTGACGCTTTGCTACATTTTGTCATTGTGTGTTGACGCTTTGCTACATTTTGTCATTGTGTGTTGACGCTTTGCTACATTTTGTCATTGTGTGTTGACGCTTTGCTACATTTTGTCATTGTGTGTTGACGCTTTGCTACATTTTGTCATTGTGTGTTGACGCTTTGCTACATTTTGTCATTGTGTGTTGACGCTTTGCTACATTTTGTCATTGTGTGTTGACGCTTTGCTACATTTTGTCATTGTGTGTTGACGCTTTGCTACATTTTGTCATTGTGTGTTGACGCTTTGCTACATTTTGTCATTGTGTGTTGACGCTTTGCTACATTTTGTCATTGTGTGTTGACGCTTTGCTACATTTTGTCATTGTGTGTTGACGCTTTGCTACATTTTGTCATTGTGTGTTGACGCTTTGCTACATTTTGTCATTGTGTGTTGACGCTTTGCTACATTTTGTCATTGTGTGTTGACGCTTTGCTACATTTTGTCATTGTGTGTTGACGCTTTGCTACATTTTGTCATTGTGTGTTGACGCTTTGCTACATTTTGTCATTGTGTGTTGACGCTTTGCTACATTTTGTCATTGTGTGTTGACGCTTTGCTACATTTTGTCATTGTGTGTTGACGCTTTGCTACATTTTGTCATTGTGTGTTGACGCTTTGCTACATTTTGTCATTGTGTGTTGACGCTTTGCTACATTTTGTCATTGTGTGTTGACGCTTTGCTACATTTTGTCATTGTGTGTTGACGCTTTGCTACATTTTGTCATTGTGTGTTGACGCTTTGCTACATCATACGTTATTGATGATGTGTCTCAAGCCTCTGTAAGTCTGTCTATACGGATAGTCACGCCTCTGTTAGTCTGTCTATACGGATAGTCGAGCCTCTGTAAGTCTGTCTATACGGATAGCCATGCCTCTGTAAGTCTGTCTATACGGATAGTCACGCCTCTGTAAGTCTGTCTTTACGGATATTCACGCCTCTGTTAGTCTGTCTATACCGATAGTCACGCCTCTGTAAGTCTGTCTATACGGATAGTCAAGACTCTGTAAGTTTGTCTATACGGATAGTGATGCCTCTGTAAGTCTGTCTATACGGATAGTCACGCCTCTGTTAGTCTGTCTATACGGATAGCCACGCCTCTGTAAGTCGGTCTATATGGATAGTCACGCCTCTCTTAGTCTGTCTATACGGATAGTCACGCCTCTGTAAGTCTGTCTATACGGATAGTCACGCCTCTCTAAGTCTGTCTATACGGATAGTCACGCCTCTGTTAGTCTGTCTATACGGATAGTCACGCCTCTCTAAGTCTGTCTATACGGATAGTCAAGCCTCTGTTAGTCTGTCTATACAGATAGTCACGCCTCTGTAAGCCTGTATATACGGATAGCCACGCCTCTGTAAGTCTATCTATACGGATATACGGATAGTCACGCCTCTGTTAGTCTGTCTAGTCACGCCTCTGTAAGCCTGTATATACGGATAGTCAAGCCTCTGTAAGTTTGACTTTACGGATAGTCACGCCTCTGTAAGTCTGTCTATATAAATAGTAAAGCCTCTGTAAATCTGTCTATACGGATAATCACGCCTCTGTAAGTCTGTCTATACGGATAGTGACGCCTCTGTAAGTCTGTCTATACGGATAGTCACGCCTCTGTAAGCCTGTATATACGGATAGTCAAGCCTCTGTAAGTTTGACTTTACGGATAGTCACGCCTCTGTAAGTCTGTCTATATGAATAGTCAAGCCTCTGTAAATCTGTCTATACGGATAATCACGCCTCTGTAAGTCTGTCTATACGGATAGTCACGCCTCTGTAAGTCTGTCTATACGGATAGTCACGCCTCTTTAAGTCTGTCTATACGGATAGTCACGCCTCTGACAGTCTGTCTATACGGATAGTCACGCCTCTGTAAGTCTGTCTATACGGATAGCTACGCCTCTGCGATAGCTCGGAATTTAATAACTGTCGATTTTGTTAAGAAGTGGATAGATGCCATTACCACAGCGATATCCTAAATTAGAAATCCGTCGAAGCAAATCAACTTGATACTTTAGATACACAACCAACCGCTCATGTCTTACAGGTATTACAAACCTGTTACTTCCAAGTTTTTCAATTACAAGTATCGCTACATCAGCTCATTGTAGATAACCTCTGTATTCTTCATCTCCATACTACTATGGTTCAGCCTGACGCGTATAAACTAGCAATCTAAATAGTATATATAATACCAAGCGACTTTTACTAATAATTTGGAATGGTAATTTCAAAATGCTGAACTGAATCAAAAAAGAATTAGCAGCTTGAAATAATCTGCATTTTTATGTGGTTCTGTCAGCAACCAAAGCATAAAACAAATTTAAAACTTGTCTGAAAGTTTCCTTGCATTGCTTGTCTAAGAACAAGACTTGTTTCATAACCAAGGAAACCTTACCTGTACATTTTCCAGTTTTTCGGAATACAAAATACTAGTCAATCATGCTTCTAGGAGTGTTGGGATATCTGAATATCGATTAATGTTAAGAATATGGACCCGCCTCCTTTATATTGGATTCCCTATCTTCGCATGCATCCATATAAACAACGTTTTATCGCTGGCCCTGCTAGTTGTTCAACCTTACCTTTATACGAACTTCTTAATACTATTCTTAGTCCCGTTAAAACAGGATAACAGTAGCATTGTGCACTTTGTATTCAAGTGGAATAAATGGAATATGGATTTGGAAGAACTCATAGGTCTTTTGATCAATTAGACCAATCAGAACATTCCATTTATCCGTTCTATACACTACAATATCTCAAACCAACCTGAAAGAGAGTCAAAGGCTAATAGATATTCTGGTAATGAAGTCATGGAAAAAAATTAGTTTCTAGTTTTCAATATCGTTGTTGAGTTTTCTGGCGTGATTTCTACCATATCATTGCTATGGTAACAAATTGTGTCCTCTTTTAACCGACCTATGTTTTGTTTATATAAGAGGCTAACATTAACAGTTTATTAGGAAGGTGACATGTTATTAATTTCACGTTCATCCATATCAATGGTCTTGTAAATAACAAGTAATGTATTGACTACGTCAATCGTACCTTCGTACCTTCCTGAACATGAAACGAAGGACACTACAGTCTCTTCTCCTTCAGCTACCTTTCTCGATATTTACTTAGAACAATACTAATAGAGACTGTTTACTGCTTAGGTGTACGATAAACATGACGATTTGGATTTCCTATCATGACAGTAACACCCTAGCTTGTACTGTTATGACCATCAGACTCACAGATACATCAACAAATGATTCTTATTGAGTCACATACTAGTATGCACCATTAATTGGTTATCATTGAGTTTAATTACGTCAACGAATTTACATAAATGGTTCGATGAATTATTTCACGTAATGTTAACATGTATAATATTAATAAACTTGGAGATAAACGTATGTTGATTATTAATATGAAGTAATAATTTACGCACATCAGTGCTGGTAAAGCCTCAGCGTCTTGACATGTTAATCCCGCAGGCGAAAGATGTGGGTTGTCTCCTTGAGGAAGACACCATTTGTATTGAACCCAACCTGTCTGAAAGGGGTTTAATACCAGCTTCAAACACACACTAACACACTCTCTAACACATATGGATGTATAATAACTTATCACGTGGTAAGATAATCATGAGTAAGATTTTTCTCAAAGTTTTTAATTTCATAACAATAAAGGGTTTTATCCACCTCCCCAAGGCCCTTAGCATCACCGATGAGACCTCCCGTGCTGTCTGACTTCTGACTTCATATTTCTAGTATCAAACAATAAAGACCTTATGTAAAAGCTCGGTTTATGCTTTTTTAAAACGGGATATATGCATGGATGTTTTTTTCTGTTGCATTACGTTTGCAAATCGCCTTATTGGTACACATTTACAAGGTTGCCTGGTAAGTGGAATAAATTATTTCCTGTATTTATATTTGTTTAAATTTGACAACGAAAACAGTGAACACAAATACCTATACAATATACATATAATAAGTTCTTATGACGCAGTCTCACATATGAATTCCAATGTAATTATAATGGGGAAACCTGTTACTGTAAAAAAGCCCGTTTCAATCTTAGTCTGATAATGAAGCATAGTGATTTTTATAACAATAGTTTTAGTCGTATGCAGCCGTGCTAAACAATAGACCACGTGAGCCTGGTGTCGTATTGAAGGTAAGGGAGTTTGTATACAACAAACTCTCATTGGACCAATTACCAACGATTAGCGCATCAATCAATTTTGTGGCTCATCCTAAGGTATAAAAACTGAGAGAAGGGACCAGACGTTAGCGACCAACGCTCCAAAACGGAAGAGTTGATATACACCATTACGTGTTATTGAACGTCGAAATAAACCCCAATTGAATACGACAGAGCGGAAACAGGAACGGAGGAACTACCTCCCAAACGACAATGAAGGGTTTAGACTGGACAATGCAGTCCTGGGTCGTCGTCTGGCTCCTCATTGCCTATCCAATGAGTGGCTTCGGTCAAACCAAGTAAGTGCCTATACTTTTTCGGTAAAGCACGTCTATATGTCATCGTTCTTAATGGCATAAAACAGCCATTATGTCAAAGATGAAACAATAGATTAGCAGCGATAACTTTTGATATATAAAATTGATAAAAAAAAGTGTTGCAGCAACCGGAAAGGATGAGTGTGCTGGTATATTCAGATTTTCACCTCTTTAATTTGTTCAAAGACCATTTGTATTACATGCGGAAAAACTAAGGTAAACGTTTGACCGAAAGTGAGTTTTTAGGGGTACCAAAAAGGGTAGGGTTAATAAAAAATATGATTTGCTGTTTTCAAAATGAACTTAAAAACCAAAATAATACCATTTCTGATTTTGAAAACATGTGTAAATTAACCAGGCAGATATAAAAGAATGAAAAATGTCAGAAATCCAATCGTCACTTAAAGATTGATTATATAAAAAGAAGGATTACATACCTGTAACTAAATTACATTGGAACATGGTACTTCTAGGCGGTAATCGTTGTTAAGCATGTGTTCTGTATAATATATCACCATACATATTTCACAAATAAGCTGAAGAACGAGTGAAAACATTGGTGTATTATGCTCTACGCGTTACATTTATACGACATTAAATGGGAGAACCATTACATTTTTTTTTCAATAACATTTAAAAAAAATCACATTGTACTACAGAACATACATGTTTTAGTAATGTGAATCTCGAAAAATATCGCACTTCCATTTTGCAGAACAAAATATTATTGACTTAAAGTAGTGACTATTCTTTACTTTACCTTCATCTGATCAAGCGCCGTTTACCCTTGTTCATGGTTTGACCTGTTATTACATAATATATATCACGTCGCTGATGTAATGCAACTTTCATCGATAAAAGTCATGTATTATTCGGCAACAGACCCTCACGCGTATGTGTAAAGCCCCCAGTCACACTGTCACGGTATTGGCCAAGGTAAAACATGTATACCGTGGCAAATTGTGGCCGTCTCTCCAATTTCAGCCTGAAAACAGTTACTAGTCGATGTTAGGGTAATACATCCAGGTTCCATTAAGGTATCATCATAGATTGTCAATGTATAACTACGGTTTGTCCCAGGTTTCCAAGGTTTTGCTACGGTGCGCCAAGGTGACGCAACGTCATCACCGGTTCTGTTCACAGTGTCACTGCGGTAACGCTACGGTTTGTCACGTGACACCTCGGTGGCTATATATATTGGGACAAATTTTCTAACTTAAAATAAGCCTTCTTAAACTGACCAAACGAGGAGCAAGTCTCAAAGTACTTTAAGGCCCTTATTGTCCTTCGTTACTGATTAACTTGGACCATCACCATGTAGTTTGCAATTTTAGAAGTTAGTTATTTAGCTGAAGTTTGTTTCTCTGGTTGTTGATGACAAAGTCTATGATGTGACACTATCCAAGACTAAAGTACCATGTGCATTGATTGATAAATTGATAGGTTTTACGTCCGCTTCACTACCGAGTAGTTAGGTTATAATTATCCAGCAGACTGGAGCAGATTTCGTCCCCAATTTATAGCACCCTGACCCGGAACCGTAACAAGCATTATTCCTGCCGTCACTGCCGTTCATCAAACGTAGTACCACCGTAATATAGACTGTGTCACAGTTTGGAAATCCTGGAGCAACCCTAAATCGTCGTAGTGTCACTTTAATGAAATCGCAGTAGAAACGGCACATACCATGTTAGACCGCGGTGCACCGTACCAGAGTCAAGTTCAAGTTCAAGTTCTTTATTCACCAAAAGTCTTAAGACCTATAGGTACAAACTAATCATGACACATTGTACATATATATATGTTATAGGAGAGTGACTATAAGCATACAAGTGCAAACTAAACAAAGAACATAATACAAAAGCACAAAAATTATTAATACGTGTAGCTAATTAATCAATTTCGCCGCTTAGTGGCTAGATATAAATATTTACCTAGATTTGACAACTCTTTGACATTATTTACAGATAAAAGTTGGACAAGTTTGTAAACAGAGGGACTCTTATAATAATACTTCTTTATATACTTTAACCTCAAATCATTATAAAAAGGACACACAAAAATGAAATGGAATTCGTCCTCGACGTCTCCCAAATCACATTTGCTACAGTTTCTATTTCTGCCAATGATATTATTGTGTCTACTCTTTTCGATATTCAGTTGATGAGACGACGTTTTAAATTTAGTTAACATATATTTGTATTTTGTTTCAATATATATACGGAGATAAAACTGAATACTATGACTGTCTATAAGATATTGATATAGTCTACCTTTTGATGAAGCTGCTATCTTTGCCAACATATTTTGCTTAGTAACATCTTTCAATCTGTGTTCAATAATTTCAAAAGTGTTTACCAATAGTAGGTTCGATTCAAAAATATAACCAAGACCTAGGGTAGTTAATTCATTCTTAATGTTACAAATCCACGGATCATTCACGTTGACACATTCATCATAACAAGTTTTTAATATCAGATTATCAGATTTCGTCAACTTCAACCAATACTTGAATACTTTTAGCTTTCTTGTAACAAATAATGGTAGTCTACCCAATTCACAATAAACTAAATCATTGAATGTAGATTTACATACTCTAAGGACTTTTTTGCAGAAATTCAAATGAACTCTCTCTATATCAGGAGCTTTGTGAAACCCCCATATTTCTGCACCATAGCTTAAGATGCTGCTGACATAAATATCAAAGACAGAGCATTGGGTTTCCAAATTCAAACAATGGTTCTTTAAAGAGGATGATAATGAAAATAAAGCCTTTCTTCCTTGGTCCGCTAAATGCTTTTGNATTTCTTTTCAAAAGGACCAGCATGTCGCCTTCATATCGTTTATAATCTCTTTTAAGTTTAAACACCAACCTTTTGTAATTACGTTTGGCGGTTATTAATATATTGTAATTTTGATTTGATTTATCCCGGTTAAAATTAATCAACGAATTTCTGTATTCAGTATATAGATCTTTGCACCGAGGAGTTATCCACGGTTTATCTTCAATAACAACAGTTTTAGTGCGGTGATCGCGGGAGTTTCTCAGAGGGGTATCTCTACACTCACAAAAAGGTAATGTACAATCATTTAATATTCTACTTATATTATTCACACATTCATCAACTGCATCTTGGTTATTTAAATCAACATTCAATTGTTCATCAATTAACTCACAGTTCTCACTTAATTTATCTAAAATTAGCATAGTATTCTCGCCTTTCCATTTCACAGACGTACAGGTTCCTCTACTGTACATGGCATTGTAATCAGCCAACTCATTTACAATTTGAGTATCTAAAAATTTGCCAATACATATATGAAACGCAACTGGACAGTGATCAGAAAACATGTTAAGAGTCGGCGGTGGTCGTAATGACTCCCGCCCCGGGCGTATGTACGGCGATACCGGTTTCAAAATACCATGGCTCGGCTACGGCTGACCCCGGAGTTTTTTTAAAACAGTTTAAAACTGCCACGGACCACCCAGGATCAACACGGATTACCCCGGCTTCAATACGGACTCGCTAAGGATACCCAGGGTTGTCCCCGGTTTGCACCATCGTAGCTTACCGGGGCTATATACGTACACAGTGTGACCGGGACTGAACCTGCCCAAAAATAAGACGAACATGAAATGCCCTTTCAAAATTACCACTGCTTTGCATATGTAAACAAGTGAGCGGTGTATACTTTTTTCGTAAAGTGGGGGTACACGCGTGCATGTGTATATCTAATCTGGTAGAACATATGACATCAGCTGTTTCGGGGTTTGTCGGAGAAAAGGAACAAATTACTCGATAGAATTACGAAGTAACAAGGCATCATGTAATTGATGTATGCACGGACAGAGTAATTCAAATGGATTATTTTATTTGGTCAAGGTTCCTCATAGTCATTTACGTTGTCAAGAAAGTACAGTATAGCACACCATAACGTCAGATAACCAACCTCGTGTTTAATGAAACTGCAATACTAGGTTAGACGGTATGATATAGATGGATTTTCATAGAAATTACTATGGCGGCCACACTTCAGAGATCATCGTTATCACATAGCATACTGTTGTACATTGTACATGCTGATCATAAATGAAACTGCAAGAGTACTTAAAATAGCGGCCAAAATTTAGCGAATTATCGAATTTTAACAGAAAAACGTTTAAATGAATCAGTGTACTCGTCATATATGCATTTGCAAATTATATACAGAAACGTTCTTTAGCGCAATATTTAAAGCTTAAATCAAAATACCGCTAAAAATACTACGCTTACAGTAATAAGATAATAGATGACACACAGAAAAAACAATAAAAAATGTACCTCGAGCTTTTAATACGTCGGTAAATGTTTATCTTTTGTTAAATAAATTATCGATAAGGGGAACCGATTCATGTCAAATACATATATATATATATGTATATAATTCATATTTGCTAAGATTATTAGACAAAGGTAGATTGATATGATATCACTGTATACAATTTGCTCCTTTTTAGTTTGAGTGCATCTCCTTGCCAAACACCAATATTTCCTTACAATACCAGTCTATATGAATGTATGTAGATTACACAGGCTCAGTAGAGTATTTATAGTAGTAAGAGGTGCGTAAGACATGCTAACTAGGCTGACCATAATCCAGAGATTTCATGCTTTGGATACGCCAAGAGAGAGTCGTTAAGAATGGTATTGTAAGGAAATATTTAGTGTTGAGCAAAGAGATGCACTTAAGTCCTTGTATCCAAAACACAAGAAAAAGTGGTGTTTTTGTTTTTAGTAAAAAGGCATTATGGGATAAGTATGAAACTTTCACTAATTAAATATCATCATATAACTAATATCTATGCCAGGTTGCATGCTAATCCTAAAATGCCTTTATGTACAATCAGCCCTTATTGTTCGAAATGAGCAGAACAATTGATAAAACAACGAAATGGGTTAACTGTAACGATTAAAACAGACACTTTCCTTGAGGTTTGGGGACATAAAATTACCAGCAAATCCAACCTCATATACTAGCTTAACAGTAATTTTGGTGGAAAATGCCATTTTGTATTTGTTAGTTAACTTTGATCAGTAATGCGGCGTTCACACAGTGCCGATCATGGCTCCCGTTTGAGATCAGACAGCGTTACGACACGAAAAGCGACAAAATCGGATTGATATCCTCAATGATCTGGAATGTCCTATCAGTGTCTGAACGCAGTCGTATACGGGAATGGTCCGGAGAGGTCAACCAAGCACTCCCGACAGTTAGGTGCGTCCCGTAACATTCGGGAAACTCAACCGATTTTTTCTAGTCGGATTACAATCGTGACTATGTTGTGACAGATTCTGCTGTATCGGATCAAAGTCGTAACAACATCCTGTGTTGTCTGGACGGTGTCTTGACGGTGTCGTGTGGATCGGGACGCTGTCGTGATGAACGGGAAAGATTGAGGAAGTTTTACATTGCCGTTTCTTGCCGATTAAGTCCAGGTTGCGTCCAGATCTTGCCGAATGCGTCGTTTCACTGTCCGGTCACTGTCTGATCTCTGTCGGATCGCGTACGGGAGAATTGGGACAGATTCGGTCGTTTTTTTACCACGCGGAAGATAAAAATCGGATCAAATTCGGATTGAGAACGGGAGAATCGGGACGAATTCGACTGGAAACGGCTGAATCGGGACGCTTCCTGAACAATATCTGATTGTTGTCGTGATTAAATGAATGTTTTCACACATTTGTGAATTTCCCGCCACGAATCACAGGATCATGATCAGACTTTTGACTTAATCGGGAGTGGTCCTTTCAAGGACGGCAGTAAATATCCTGAATGTGTGACTGTGAGATTTTATATAAACAATCTTTAAGTGACGATTGAATTTCTGTCATTTTTCATTCTTTTATATATGCCTGTTGAATTTACACATGTTTTCAAAAACAGAAATGGTATTATTTTTGTTGTTGTAGCTCTTTTTTTAAAACAATTAATTATATTTGTGATCTACCCTGCCCCTTTTGGTACCCGAAAATCTCACTTTCGGTTAAACGTTTGCCTTAGCGTTTGCACATGTGATACAATAGGACAAGACTGTCTTATACGTTTTGTACATGGTACAAAGCAAATTTATATACTTGTGCAGATGTTGTTGACCGTAAGAGTACCTGTATCTTCCAGTTATACTATGATTTCGCTGTGAAGTGATTTAGACTTTACTTTCAAATGTGTGTTAATACGAAACCTGAAACCTCGTTGCAGACTAGCTTCATTGACAGTTTGCGCAACTTCAATAAAAAAAATCCAATTAGATGTGAAGTTGATGGACTCTTGTACTGACATGATCCATGCTTATTGTTATCGATAATAAGATTCATGCACAGAGGAGTTTAAACAACTCTTTTTATAGAACAGCAGAACTTATCTATTTATGGTTATACCAGGTTTCTAGTTCAGGCCTATAGACTTTTTCTTGTGGAACCAGAACCTTGCTACCCCTTCAGGTAAAACCATATCTGTATACTTAAGTATCGATACAGCATAAACCGTACATTATTGAAACATTAACATTGCCGTATGTTCACTATGTTATACGTTAAGTCGTTCCTTTCTTCTTATTTTGACAAAGTGTGATCGATTTTGAGATCGATTTATGGTTTCACTGACACTTTTTATTCTCTTAAGTTTGTATCACAAAATACATATTTGAACAAAACGGAATGAGAAGAAACGTAGGCTATGAATTGACTATAAAACCTACATTACCATTCTTTATTCCTTTTTAGCGATGCACACACCTGTACAAAATCAGTGAAGAAGACAGCAACAAAAGACGAACTTTGCTCCAACTTTTTGGACATGACACTCAACACATCTGGTACACAGCAGTATTCGTACACCCTGAAGCCAGGGACAACACCCGTTGACATAACCAGACTTATAACTGGTAAGTGTTGTTTATTTAGCGCTTTATTGAAGTATGCACATGCTGAACCTTCTGTTCTAATAATTCATTATAATAATTTTTGGTTGAAGGACAGTTGGATGCATGATTATTATCATTTATGAAATTCCACGAAATGGTTTGTCTAAATGCATTAAAAAACTTATTTATCATGAAGGTGTACAAGGGTCAAACAACCAAACATAGGCGTTACAAGCTAGTTACTTTGCAGCTTAATACAAATAGTGGAGTTATATGCGTTTCGAATTTGTATCAATTGGTATTTATACATTGTCTGTAATAAGGTGTTACAATACCATGTATATAATAATTAACAGTTGAACACTTTCGCTTTTAAACAGATAGCACATGTCTTTCATAAGAAAGTAAAAAGATTAATAAACAATATATTCGCATGTAAAAATACATTTGGTAACATCTCATTATTTATTTGCAGATAATGACCAGACAGAGATGTGTACATATGAAAGGTATCTCATTTTTCTTATTCTTTTTTTTTCTATGAAATTCCTTGATAATATTCAAAATAACTAGAAATTGTTCCAAATAATATTGTTACCAAGTATTAATTGTAATCGGGAACATTACAGAGGCCCCCGAACTGCCCCAATAGTCGCAAATGTGCAATAAAGGTGTCGGGGTAGAGTTGACTGTGTCATAATATACTTACATACCAAGTTTAAGCAATATTTTACATAGATGGACCAGTTACATCACTTTGGTGTACACCGATAGATGTGTAAATAAATCAGAGGCAGCGGCGGCCATCTTGAATGCGCAGCTATTAAAAAAGAGGTGCTCTGGCACATATAAGCACACGCACCATTATTCATGTGTAGTTTCATTGGAATCCGACGTCTATTTTCTGAGAAAACGCGTGGACAAAGTCACCAGGTGGAAGAAGAATAAGAATAAGAAACGGAGTAAAGACAATAAGACCCCAAACTTTGTTTTGGTGACTTAACTTTGCACCGTCTTATATGTACAACTGTTGGTTTTATTCACAGGTCATACGAAGAAACTATTACGGGTTGCTGTGACGGTTGGAAAGGGGACAATTGTGATGAGCGTAAGAATGAGTTAACAATGGAATTATATTTCTGTTCATTTAACATGTAGTCCTCAACGACACTGGTGGCTGTAGCTCATATAACATGACTGTACGAATTCATATCTACAAAATGTATAATACACTATTATTTATTTTCCTTAAATCGTTTTATTGTTGATGATTAAATATATAAATTTTCAATGTAAAACAAGATTTAAATAACTTTCTAAATACTCATTTCGTCAAAATGCAGAATACATTCGTTTCATTTCTCCTTAAATGTATACCACAGGATCTCTGACCCGGAAATATATTTTTCCCAGTTTTTTTTAATGTTTTTTTTTTCCATTTCAATCTTATAAAATTATAAATTGTGTCAAAATCTCTCTCATTCTTTTTTCTTTAGTTCTTTAACAATTTTTTTTATAGTATTGAGAAGAAATTATGTGCCTCTCTGTTCTTGATTTTCAGCCAAATGCGATCCCAAATGTTACAATAACGGTCAATGTGTTAACCCGTACATTTGCCAGTGTAATGCAGACTATGCCGGTAACCTGTGCGAGGACAACATAGAAAGTAAGAGTACACATTAGTTCCGCCATTCATAGAAGTTTTTATTTGTGGTGTTGCTACCATTGTAGTTTTGTTTTATTACGTTAGGTACCAAACATATAATACATTAGTACATGTGTCTTTTATTTACGCCTACATGAATGTACCATCTTAGTAATAAAGAAATAATGAAACGATATCGGGTAATTTGTTTAGCACAAATCATTAATGTAACGGGTTAAATGCCTCAATATAAAGTGAACAGGAAAATTTGCTTAAAACTTTTGTATCATTAAATCAGAATGAGAAAGGAATATTTTATTATATTCTTTGAAATGACATCAAAAAGCAAATTCAATGCATTAATTCTTTATTCAATATTAATATATTATATCCTTAATAAAATTAAGCTATCGGTAATTCCGTTAATGGATGTTCGTTAAGAAATCTTGTACACAAATGTCGAATTATGATATCGTTATATAGATTACGACTACGACCAGGAAAAACAATACTGCTATGGATCCAATACCTGTCATGGTTATAAAGCTGTCGGCTTTGATCAAGATCCTGTGACAAAGGAAAAGTGTTGTCAGAGTGGTGGGCATGGATGGGGTGCACCCGATAGACGATGTGACGACTGTTCAGGTAAAACAAATTACTACTAAACCTATTTTTTCTTTCTAGCGTTTTTCAAGTTGATGAAATTATCGTGAAATAACCATACCCAAATAAATAACACTAGGTGGTTAGGACTATAAATAGCTTTATAGATTTCAGAACAATTTGAAATGTGAAAATTACCGTGTCGATGTCAGGTTAAAGAGTAATAACGAGAAGATTTGTAGCGCAAGTCAGATCAGGGTACAAGTATATGTAACACAGTACCTATTGTAGACGGCATGGTGTGGTCAGGGTACTCATATATGTAACAAAGTACCTATTGTAGACGGTATGGTGTGGTCAGGGTACACACATATATGTAACACGGTACCTATTGTAGACGGTATGGTGTGGTCAGGGTACACACATATATGTAACACGGTACCTATCGTAGACGGTATGGTTTGGTCAGGGGACACATATATGTAACACAGTACCTATTGTAGACGTTATGGCGTGGTAAGGGAACATCTATATGTAACACATTACCTATTGTAGACGATATGGAAGGGTACATCTATATGTAACACATTACCTATTGTAGACGGTATGGTGTGGTCAGGGTTTATGTAACACAGTACCTATTGTAGACGTTATGGTGTGGTCAGGGTTCACACATATATGTAACACAGTACTTATTTTATAGTGTATGGTGTGGTCAGGGTACACATATATTTTACCTTATATGCAACACAGTACCTATTGTAGACGGCATGGTGTGGTCAGGGTACTCATATATGTAACACAGTTCCTATTGTAGACGGTATGGTGTGGTCAGGATACACATATTTGTAACACAGTACCTATTGTAGACGTTATGGCGTGGTAAGGGAACATCTATATGTAACACATTACCTATTGTAGACGGTATGGTGTGGTCAGGGTACACACATATATGTAACACGGTACCTATTGTAGACGGTATGGTGTGGTCAGGGTACACATATATATAACACAGTATCTATTTTATAGTGTATGGTGTGGTCAGGGTACACATATATTTTACCTTATATGCAACACAGTACCTATTGTAGACGGCATGGTGTGGCCAGGGTACTCATATATGTAACACAGTACCTATTGTAGACGGTATGGTGTGGTTAGGATACACATATTTGTAACACAGTACCTATTGTAGACGGTATGGCGTGGTTAGGGTACATATATATATAACACAGTACCCACAGTGATTTTAGACTGTATCGTGTGGTCAGGGTTCACACATATATGTTACACAGTACCTACATGTATTTTAGACTGTATGGTGTGGTCAGGGTTCACACACATATATGTAACACAGTACCTATTGTAGACGGTATGTTGTGGTCAGGGTTCACACATATATGTAACACAGTACTTATTTTATAGTGTATGGTGTGGTTAGGGTACACATATATTTTACCTATTTGAGTGTGTATGGTTTGGTCAGGGTACACATATATGTAACACAGTACTTATTGTAGACGGTACGGTGTGGTCAGGGTACAACTATACGTAACACAGTACTTATTGTCCTATTTTATGGTGTATGGTTTGGTCAGGGTACATCTATATGTAACACTGTACATATTATAGACGGTATGGTGTGGTCAGGGTACCCATATATACAACACAGTACCTACATGTACTTTAGACGATATGGTGGGGTCAGGGTACACACATATATGCAACACTGTACATATTATAGACGGAATGGTGTGGCCCTGGTACCCATATATGTAACACAGTACCTATTGTAGACGATATGGTTTGGTCAGGTTACACATATATATAACACAGTACTTATTGTAGACGATATGGTGTGGTCAGGGTTCACACATATATGCAACACAGAACCTATTGTAGACGATATGGTGTGGTCAGGGTTCACAGATATATGTAACACAGTACCTACATGTATTTTAGACTGTATGGTGTGGTCAGGGTACACATATATGTAACACGGTACCTATTGTAGACGGTATGGTGTGGTCAGGGGTCACACACATATGTTACACAGTACCTACATGCATTTTAGACTGTATGGCGTGGTAAGGATGCATCTATATGTAACACATTACCTATTGTAGACGATATGGTGTGGTCAGGGTTCAAATATATATGTAACACAGTACCTACATGTATTTTAGACTGTATGGCGTGGTAATGGTACATCTGTATGTAACAGAGTACCTATTGTAGACGATATGGTGGTATGGTGTGGTCAGGGTTCCCACATATATGTAACACAGTACTTATTGTAGACGGTATGGTGTGGGCAGGGTTCACACATATATGTAACACTGTACATATTGTAGACGGTATGGTGTGGTCAGGGTTCGCACATATATGTAACACTGTACATATTGTAGACGGTATGGTGTGGTCAGGGTTCCCACATATATGTAACACAGTACTTATTGTAGACGGTATGGTGTGGTCAGGGTTCGCACATATATGTAACACTGTACATATTATAGACGGTATGGTGTGGTCATGGTACACATATATGTAACACGGTACCACCTATTTGAGGAAGTATGGTATGGTCAGGGTACCCCTATACGTAACACTGTACATATTGTAGACGCTATGGTGTGGTCATGGTACACATATATGTAACACAGTACTTTTTGTAGACGGTATGGTGTGCTCAGGGTACACATATATGTAACGCAGTACCTATTTTATAGTGAATGGTGTGGTCAGGGTTCAAATATATATGTAACACAGTACCTATTTTATAGTGAATGGTGTGGTCAGGGTTCACAGATATATGTAACACAGTACCTAATTTTATAGTGTATGGTGTGATCAGGGTACACATATATATAACCCCCCACCTATTTTATAGTGTATGGTGTGGTTAGGGTACACATATATTTTACCTATTTGAGGGTGCATGGTGTGGTCAGGGTACATCTATATGTAACGCATTACTTATGTTATAGTGGATGGAGTGGCCAGGGTACACATATATGTAATAGAGTACCTATTGTAGACTGTATGGTGTGGACAGGGTTCACACACATATATGTAACACGGTACCTAGGTGTGGTCAGGGTACACACATATATAGTACCTACATGTATTTTAGACTGAATGGTGTGGTCAGGGTACATATATATGTAACACAGTACCTAATTTTATAGTGTATGGTGTGGGCAGGGTACACATATATTTTACCTATTTGAGGAAGTATGGTATGGTCAGGGTACACCTATACATGGTTTGGTCAGGGTACACATATTTGTAACACAGTACTTATTGTAGCTGGCATCCAACACAGTACCTATTGTAGACGTTATGGTGTGGTCAGGGTACCCATATATGTAACACAGTACCTAATTTTATAGTGTATGGTGTGGTTAGGGTACACATATATTTTACCTATTTGAGGGAGTATGGTGTGGTCAGGGTAATATATATGTAACACAGTACTTATTGGAGACGGTATGGTGTGGTCATGGTACACATATATGTAACACGGTACCTAGGTGTGGTCAGGGTACACATATATTTTACCTATTTGAGGAAGTATGGTATGGTCAGGGTACACCTATACGTAACACTGTACATATTGTAGACGCTATGGTGTGGTCAGGGTACACATATATGTAACACAGTACCTATTGTAGACGGTATGGCGTGGTAAGGGTACATCTATATGTAACAGAGTACCTATTGTAGACGATATGGTTTGGTCAGGGTACACATATATATAACACAGTACTTATTGTAAACTGTATGGTGTGGTCAGGGTTCACACATATATGTAACACAGTACCTATTGTAGACGATATGGTGTGGTCAGGGTTCACTGATATATGTAACACAGTACCTATATGTATTTTAGACTGTATGGTGTGGTCAGGGTACACATATATGTAATAGAGTACCTATTGTAGACGGTATGGTGTGGTCAGGGTTCACACACATATGTTACACAGTATCTACATGCATTTTAGACTGTATGGCGTGGTAATGATGCATGTATATGTAACACAGTACCTATTGTAGACGATATGGTGTGGTTAGGGTTCACACATATATGTAACACAGTACCTACATGTATTTTGGACTGTATGGTGAGGTCAGGGTTCACACATATATGTAACACAGTACTTATTGTAGACGGTATGGTGTGGTCAGGGTACACATATATATAACACAGTACCTATTTTATAATGTATGATGTGGTCAGGGTACACATATATTTTACCTATTTGAGGGTGTATGGTGTGGTCAGGGTACACCTATACGTAACACTGTACATATTGTAGATGGTATGGTGTGGTCAGGGTACATCTATATGTAACACAGTACCTATTTAATAGCGTTTGGTGTGGTCAGGGTACACATATATTTAACCTATTTGAGGGTGTATAGTGTCGTCAGGGTACACCTATACGTAACACTGTACATATTGTAGACTGTACGGTGTGGTTAGGGTACATCTATATGTAACGCATTACTTATGTTATAGTGGATGGTGTGGCCAGGGTACACATATATGTAACGCAGTACCTATTTTATAGTGTATGGTGTGGTCAGGGTACATCTATATGTAACACTGTACATGTTATAGACGCAATGGTGAGGTCAGGGTACACATATATTGAACACATTACCTATTGTTGTCGGTATCGTGTGGTCAGGGTACACACATATATGTAACACGGTACCTATTGTAAACGATAGGGTTTGGTCAAGGTGCACATATATGTAACACAGTACCTATTGTAGACGGTAAGGCGTGGTAAGGGTACACATATATGTAACACGGTACCTATTGTAGACGATATGGTTTCGTCAGGGTACACATATATGTAACAAAGTACTTATTGTAGCGACATGGTGTGGTCAGGGTACACATATATATAACACAGTACCTACATGTATTTTAGACTGTATGGTGTGGTCAAGGATCACACATATATGTAACACAGTACCTACATGTATTTTTGACTGTATGGTGTGGTCAAGGTACACATATATGTAACACA